CATTGCAATTAAAAAAATAATCTTCGCAAAGATGAAGCTGAATTTCCCAAAGCAATCTGTCAAAGGTAGAGATTAACCCTCCCTACATGCACGGGGTTTAAACTGATTGGTTTCCAACTGCTTACAGTGCAGTTAAAAATATAAGAAAAAAACCTGATATTTTTATTTACTATCCACAGTATTTTTTGCCTGAACCATTTGGATTTTCCAGTAATACTTTGCGCTTGTTCCTTCTTGAAAATATGAAAATTGTCATTGGATTTGGTTAGCTGTTATATTTTATATACATTTTCTAATTTAGGGTTTCTATTTCATTTAGAGGAACATAATTGTGTCTGGTTTTGCAGTAGGAAAATGTTGCTGTACAATTAAACCTTTCCCTTATTTATGGCAAATCTCTGTCTACTTGAAAAAACATCTAAATAACATCTAAAGAAACAAGAATCAATGAAGGAATATAACAAAACTCAAAAATAATAATAGTTATGAGTAAAATAAGAGGGTTAAGAATGGTGAAATCCAAATGAAATACAATAGAAGGGGAAATAATATAAGGTGAGCGGTATCGATTGATAATTGCTATTAGAAAGAACAGGAAGCTCCTGTTCGTATTGTATTGTGTAAATGTGGTGTAAGTCTAAGTTTTGTGTGTGTGTATTTTACATGTTTGTTAATAAAAATAAAAAAATAAAAAGATATTTTCCAGGGCAGCATTGGCAGACGCTTGAAGATTCTGCTGCCTGGGGACACATGAGGGTTATCTTGCTGTTACAGTTACATTATGGACATTCTCGCATTGTACTTTTAAATTAGAATAAATTTACCAAGGACAAAGCTCCAATTTGCCATCTTCCAGATGTGTTATGATTACAACTTTGGTTTCTCATTTGTTGGCCATGCCGGTTCTATCACCCCCATCTCGGGGTCATTAAAGACACAGAAACCTCTTTTGCATTGGACCATCGAATTGTTCAAAATTGCAGAAGCAATTAAAAAAAAAAGTGGCAATTTTTCCACTTACATCACTTTTTCCCTTCCCAAGACTGAAACGGAGATTGTTCTTAGCTTCCGTATCCCACCTTTGGAAGATGAAACCCCTTCTCCTAAGGAGCTCCGATTTCAAATCAGGTAGTCCTTGACTTACGACCACAAGGGACCCCCAAATTTCAGTTGCTAAGCGAAACATTTGTGAATTTTGTCCCATTTTACCACCTTTCTGGCCACAGTCGTTAAGTGAATCCCTGCAGCTGTTAAATGAATGACACTGTTGTTAAGTGAATCCAGCTTCCCCACTGACTTTGCTGATAAGGTGGTCACCAAGGTTGATCACATGATCCCGGGACACTGCAACCGTCATAAATATGAGTCAGGTGCCAAGCATCCAATAGTTTAACTATGGCACCATAGAAATAGTCGTAAGTGTGGAAAACGGTCCTAAGTCACTTTCTTTAGTGCCGTTTTAACTATGAGTGGTCACTAAGTGTTGTAAGTCGAGGACTACTTGTAATAGTAAGGGAGGGGGGGGAAACACCCTTTCCCATCTTGGTTCTGCCCTCCGCCTCCACTAACCAAGCCTGCCTATTGTTCGATATCCGAGTCTCCCCTGCACGATCCTCGCCCCTCGTCGGAACTGGCACGATCGGACTCTCCTCCCGGCCGTGCTCCGCCCGCCGCCGTGGCACTCACCCGCCCAGCAGCAGCCCCGCGCCCAGCAGCAGCAGATAATTGCTCTGGTAGTACAGGAGGTTGTTAATCACGCGGTTGTGCCAGCGCTGCAGGTCCCGCACGTCGGGGGCAGCCAAGCGAGTGGAGCCCAGGAGAAAATCATCCAGCACCCGAATTGGGGGGAGCCGCACCTCGGACATCTTCGCTGGCTTGGGGCGGGAGGGACTACCACCCCCACAATGCATTGCGGCGATGGACCTGCCAGCAGGAAGACGTGGAGACAGGAATGTGCCGCGGAGGAGGTGGAGCAGGGCGTCGCCTGTAGCGGCTGCTGGAGTTGCTTTCTTTTCCTTGGCTTTAATTTAATGGCTCCATAGCGGTAAGAAAAATGCAGCTCCTCCAAGGAAACGTTGGGGACTTCTGCAAAGACCTGCAGGCAATTGTAGAAACTACTCCTTTACTGATACAATAAGCTAAGCTACCTGAAAACCCCGGCGTGGTTTTGGAAAAGAATTGGGAGGGGCCAAATAGATGAAAGAAAATGAGATCTTTTGTGTGTCTTCTTCTGCTATATTATCTAAAGATTAAATGGATGGGTGGATCAATGACTCCAACACCTTGCCAGATGCAAAATGCTTTATTACAGCATCTCCCAGAGAGGGCCTCTATTTCAATGGCTCCAGTAAAACAATGTCCACCACAGTTCCACTATGGGATACCACTAGGATTTTTTTCAGATTTTAAACCAAAGCCTACTTCTTTGATACGTGAACATGTTGTTCTTTTGGCCTGTTTTTGGAATAAGTCTAAAAATCTTGGCTTTTCTATATTGCAGCTCTTCAGATAAATGGAGACAAGCGTTGCATCTCTCCATTGCCTTCTCCTCTCCACCTAAGTGCCTCCAATGTGTTTTTCCTTACTGGCCCTTTTATCATCTTGACTGCTGTCCTCTGAAAATGCTTGTTTGTCAAATCATCTTTCTAAAATGCAATGTCTGGAACATTCTAGGGTGTCCTAACCAATGCACAATAGAAAGGAGGATGGCTTCTCTTGATCCTGATGTGGTCTTCGGTTTGTAGGAAGTTATCACCCCGGCCCTCTCCCAGAAAAATGAAATATCCTAGGAAATATTGAAAAGGAAGAAACATGTTTTAAAAGACAGAATAGCTGCCTGCAGTTTCCTGCCCATCCCCCTTTCTCAATGAGCCATTAAAGCCTGAGCTGGTCCACTTTACATAATAAAGAGTTCTCCCCTTCAG